TGTGGTCAATGTCATGAGACGAAGTGTATGTGAACTGCTGTATGGAAAGGGAATTTGCTCTGTAAATTTTCACTCAAATCCCCCCCACCAAAAAGTCATAAAATAAAAAAATAAAGAAAAAAAGAATCCCCATTCTCATGGGTATTTCTTGAGGGGAACAAAAATATTTAGCAGATGAGTCTAAGGATAATCAAAGCCATCATGTAAATTAAAAGAAGCTCAGAGGCCCAGAGCATAAAGTAAATTAGAATAAAACTTAGAACTTTGAACATGGAAAATTTTTACTTTAAATTAAAAATCTATGCTAGATGATATTAGGAATTAGTATAGAGCTTTCTCTTAGGTGGAAGTGACTATAAAGAAATATGAAGGGCTTTGGGGGTTCTGATAATGTTTTGTTTTTTGATCTGGATGCTAGTTACACCAGATGCTCACATTGTGAAAATTCATCAAGTGGTACCCTTGTGATTTGTTTATTTTTTTATGCTATATTTCAACCAAAAATATTAAAAAAAAAAAAAAAAAAGATGGGTAGCCACAAATACAACCAAAAAACCCGCAAAAAACAAAAACCCTATGCAATGTGTTTTTGTTCCCTTCTTTAGGTGTTCTTACTATTAATCAATAAGGATTTACTGAAACAACTAAAGTAACAGTGTGCATTCAACAGAAATGGAAGGCATATGTTAGCTTCGGGAAGAAGCTGCTTTGGAAAGCTGAATAAATTAGACATGAAATTAAAAATGTTAACAAACAATTTACCAGTCCATGAAGAATAGTTTAGTAAAAACAGATCTAATACTGATATGTAACTAATTCTCATGGGAAGGTCTAGCTAGAAAAAAACCCCAAGTTGGCTCTTTCCATTGGAGATCTTTTTCTTTAACCTTAACAATGGTCAACTAAGCTAAATACATATGAATCCTCATTTAAACTTAAAATGCATATAGTGTCACAAAAGTCATTAAGAATATCAAGCCACATCTGTTTTCTGCCCTGAAGTAGTGAGCAAGGAGCCTGCCACTTACATGAATAGGAGAGGGAAGGAAAGTAGACAATAGAGGGAAGGAGATTTGAGGGCAGAGACAGCGTATCTGAAAGAACATGACAGGAGGAAGGCTTCTTCAGATTAGAAAATGATCTCTCTGTGCCTGAAAAAATAAAGAGAAGTCTGTGGGTGCCAAGAGCAGTAGGATCATGCCTTCTGGCAATACCACCAGGGACGCATCTGAAGCCAAGAGGAAGGAAATAGCTGTGTGGTGCATCTAGGAAGATGGGGCAGGGTATCATCATCAAAGATTCTGAAGCCTTATGCGTGGCACAGTAGCGGCAAAGACCTCTGGATTTGAAGGGTCTTCTAGCCAGAGTTGACTAATGTCTCAGCAGCACTCCCAACCCTAATTAAGGCCTGGATACTAAGTAAAACCTCAGAACTCTGGCATACTTCCAGGCTGAGGGAGCTCTGGGAAAGCCTGAGATTAAAAATTTTCCCCAACTTGGTATATGAGGAGTAATTCAGAAATTCAAGGGAGTTACAGAAAAATTAATAAACATACTTCTTAGAGACCTAAAATTTATTCAGGTCTCAGCTTTATTCTTTCTATATGTGTAATAACATGGACGCACATACACAGAGTTTAAAGTCTCACAAACAGAAAAGAAAAATGAGAAATATAGTTGTGTTTCATTTATCAAGTTCTATCAGCTTCTTCACATAAGTAAGTTTTCTGGAGAAGTAAATGAAAGAGTCTATGCTCGGAAGGAAGATGGGGCAACCTACTTCCATAGTGATACTGCCTCGGAAACCCAAGGAGGGGTCGCTATGAGTTGGGTCCGATTCGATGGCACATAACAACAACAACATGCTACTCCATACGCAAAAGAATGAAGCTGGATCCCTATTTCACACCATATACAAATATCAACTTCAAATGGATCAATAACCTAAATATAAGAACTAAAACCATAAAACTCTTGGAAGGAAATCTAGAGGTAAAACTCGAGACTTAGTTTTTGAGCAACAAAGATAAAACAGATAAATTAGTCTTCAGTAAAATTAAACACTTTTGTGTATCGAAGGACTTTATCAACAAAGTAAAGAAATCCCTTACAGAATGAGAAGAAATTTTTGGTAACCATAAATTGGATAAGGGTTTATTATCCAGAATTTATATAAAATTCCTACAACCTAACAAGAAAAAGACCCACAATCCAAATAAAAAAATGGGTGGAGAACTTCAATAAACATTTCTTCAGAGAAAATATACTAATGGCCAATGAACACATGAAAAAGATGTTCAAAGTCACTAGTCATTAGAGAAATGCAAATCAAAACCATAATGAGAAATTTCATATCTACCGTTGTTGTTGGCTGCAGTTGAGTTGACCTCTGATTCATGGTGATCCCACGCACAGAGGACTAAACACTACTCAGTCCTGCGCCACCCCCCGTGATCTGTTGTGGAATGGACCATTGTGGTCCACAGGGTTTTCAATGGCTGATATTTGGAAGCAGAATGCCAGGCCTTTCTTCCTAGTCCATCTTAGCCTACAGCTCTACTGAAATGTGTTCAGCATCACAGCAATATGCAAACCCCTATTGACAGGCAAGCTGTGGGGGTGCATGAGGCATACTGAATCTCATCAAATCCGGATCTCCTGCGTGGAAGGTGAGAATTCTACTCCTTAACTACCACTGCCCACCATCACACCCACTAGGATGGCTATTATTAGAAAAATGGAAAATAACAAGTGCTGGTGAGGATGTGGAGAAATCAGAACACTTATCCACTGCTGGTGGGCATGTAAAATAATGCAGTTGCTATGGAAAACAGTAGGAGCTCTGGTAGCATAGTGCCTAAGGCACTTGACTGCTAACCAGAAGGCTGGCGGTTCAAATCCACCAGCCACTCCTCAGAAGGAAGGTTGGGCGATTTACTTCTGTAGTTATACTGCCTCAGCAACCCAAGGAGGGGTCGCTATGAGTTGGGTCCTACTTGACGGCACATAACAACAACAACATGGAAAATAGTATGTGGTTCTTTAAAAAGTTAAATGGAGAATTTCCTTATGACCCTGCAATTTCACTCCAAGATATATAACCCCCAAAAGTTGAAAGCAGGGACTCCAACAGACATTTGTAAACCAGTATTCATTGTAGCTATTTTTCACAATAGCCAAAAAGTGGTAATGACCCAAGTATACATCAACAGATAAATGGATAAACAAAATATAGTCTATCTATACAACAGAATGGGAGCTCTGGTGGTGTAGTATCTAAGGCATGTGACTACTAACCAGAAGGCTGGCAGTTCAAACCCACCAGTCACTCCTCAGAAAGAAGGTTGGGCAATCTATTTCCATAGTGATATTGCCTCAGAAACCCAAGGAGGGGTCGCTATGAGTTGGATCCAACTCGATGACAGTGAGTTTGGTTTGGTTTAAACAATAGAATATTATTCAATCATAAAGAGAAATAAAGTTTTGATGTATGCTATGGCATGGATGAACCTTGAAAACATTTATGTGAAATAAGTAGACACAAAAGGACAAATACTATATGAACATACTTATATGAAATATGTAGACTAGATGAATGTATAGAGATAAAAAGTTTATTAGTAGTTACCAGCTGCTAGGTGAGAAGTTAATGGAGTTTTGATGCTTAAGAAGTAATTGAGTCTTTGTTTAGGGTGGTGAAAAACATTTGAAAATGGATAGTGATGATCATTGTACAACATGGAGAATGTAATTGATTTTCATTGAATTAACAAATAAAAATGATTAAAATGGCAAATGTTTTATATTTAGTTTACCATAATAAAATTTAAAAGAGTCAGTACTACTACCAGGATGGTGCAAATGGTTAAGTGCTTGGCTGTTAACCAGAAGGTGGTGGTGGTTCAAATTTATTCAGAGGTACTGAGAAGAAAGGCCTGATGAGCTACTTCTTTAAAGTCAGACATCATTGAAAAACCCTGTGGGGTCATTATGACTCATAGTCAACTTGATGGCAACTTTTTTTTTTTAATGCTACTAGTAAAAGTTACTGATTTTGGCTAAATTTTGATAATGCGATTGGAGATGACATAGGTACAGAGAAAGAGTTCTAGTGGGGCTGTGGTTAAAGCACTGGGCTACTAACTAAAAGGCTGGTGGTTCAAACTCACCAGCCACTCTGCAGAAAAATGATGAGGAAATCTGCTTCTGTAAAGATTTACAGCCTTGGAAATCCCATAGGATGGCTCTACTCTGTCTTATATAGTCACTATGAGTCAGAATTGACTCGATGGCAGTTGGTTTGGGTTTTTTCTTTCTTTTTTTTTTTTCTGATGTAGAGAGAGTTATATGCCCTTATCCTAAATTACTCCCAGACTGGAGTGCGTTTATAGTTCTTGTGTCTTTTCTTTGTTTTTTTAAAAATATTTTTCTTTCTCGCTTGACTACTTTATAGTCTTATTAGCAACAGTCCTTACAGTTCTATCTATGTGGTTGATTCTAGTTGTCCTCTCTTCCTTCCTTCAATTCTAATTTTCTATGTCAAATATCCCTTGCACTCAAAAAATCAGAAAATCAATCATTTCAGAACTGTGCTTAAACTAAGAGTCAAGAGGCACCAGGTGCAAACCCTTGGCTTTATGAGAGTGGTTCTGGTTACTCCATAGCCTTTTCTTGCTTTCTATTTTTCTTATCTATGTTCTAAGTCAGCATTTTTCAATTTATCTTCTCAAATTCTACAGTTTTAGAAGGTGCTTCAACGATTGCTGTGGGTGGGAAAGAGAGAGGCTTGCCCCTGCTTAACTGAGAGTAGACCTGTTTTGTATTATGGGTTCTATATAAGATTTCATTTAACAAAAATAGTTTGTTCTTAAAACTACTCTTCTAAAATCTGACCTCTAGAGTTGTGTAGTGTAATTGACATATTGTATAGTTACAAATTTTTTTAAAAAGCTCTGAAACTCTAAAAATAGAACTGATTTTCAAAAGGAAATGAAAATTACCTGAAGTAAAGGGATGAAATCCTCCTGTTCTAGATAGCTGCAGCTAGGTTTTGCTAGAAGATAGATGAACTTAGAGGCATCATCATGATGGTTATTCAGTAACCTGTAACAATGAAAACAATCTCTTAGGAAGATAAGCTACTGCAAACAATGACTGCAACTTCAATAGTTGGTTATTTCAGTCTGATCTGAAGGCCTAAATGGTTAAAGAATTAAGTGGTTTCTTTTCAATGATTAAAAAAATGGAATTTTTCCATGCCTTTAATTTTGTCAAAGGGACTCCTTAATACAAGCTCCGTAACACAATAGCATAATATTTTTGTAGAATGCTAGTAAGGAGCTCTGGTAGCATAGTG